TGATACACCCCCTTGCTGTTTGGCAGTTCAACCTCGGGGATCTGCTAGTCGATCCTTGGGTTGACTGCTTTCAGCCACTACATGGAGAATACAAGATCAAAGGGTAGATCAGGGAATACGTAGAAGTTCAGACTATGTCTGACTTCTCCAGCACTGTCGAAGGTTACAGGGATACCCCTGACCTTCTCCCTGATGGTCAGAACAGTGGAGTCACCTATTCTGACCTGCAGCGGTTGCTGCAACTGTACTACTTTCATGCCCAGATGCAGTTTTTTGACTGCACTGGGAGACATGAAATTTCGGGTGGCTCCACAGTCTAATAACCGCTTGATCCTGCTGTGGTTGATCAGGGGCCGGAGGAGTATGAGATCTGACTTGTTCTGCTTTTGTTCTTTCAGATGAAAGAAAAAAGCAGCAAGAGCCTGACACTCAGACTGGTCCGGTTCCTGATCCGGGTCAAGATCCTCATAGATGAAGGATGCTGCCCGCTCAGGCCCCGCACTGGGTAGGAAGGAACAAGTCTCAACTGAAGCAGCTGCAGCTACAGCTGCAGGTGCAGCACTGGAGGGAACTGCAGTCTCCAGGTTCAACTTCAGTTTTTTTATTGAGCTGGGCTAGGCATGTAGGGACAATCCTTCAAGAAGTGTTGTCCCTCACACCTCAAGCAGACACCTCTCTCCTTCCTCTTCCTCCACACTCCCTCCTGGATCTTCAGATCATGCCATGGGAGAGTGTTGGGGTTCAGAGGGTCTGCTGGAAAGTGGACGTCACGTAGCAGGTTAGGGCGCCGGGTAGGGGTTGAAGAGCGACGTCCCTGGCTCTTCCCCTTGCTGCTGGAGGCTGTGCTGGAGGTTGACCCGGCCTTTTGGAAAGCCCCCAGCGCAGCCTGCAGCTGCTGGACAACTGCTGCAACATCTGGGATAGCAGCTGAAACAGTCCCAGCAGGCGGTGTACCAGGCTGGGATCCTGTCTCAGAGGCTGACCCAGAACCCGCATATGCAAAGGCCGCCTTTCCCTTTCTACCACCACGAGGGAAGACGCCTGTCCTCCTATCACTGGAGGGGGCCTGGACATGAAGCTTGGCTTCCATGTCCAGTGTTGCGCGTCCAAACGATCGCCAGTCTTTGTGTCCGGTGCTGTACAAAGCAACACAAAACTTTTCAGGCACAGCCCTGCAAAAGTTAGTCAATAAATCATCAGCAGACATAACCAATCTAGGGGTGGAAGTCAGCTGCTCAAACTCAGCAAATAAAGCCTGCAGACTGCCGCTGTAACGCTGCTGGCCCAGGCGTACTATTTTATCAGCAGCTTTGCGGACTCTCTCTTTGTCTGCAAACCGGTCTTCCAGGGCCTGCAAAAGTTTGTCAGCCCCCAGTGCCAAGGCCCAATCCTCCAAAGTCTGGTTCTGGGCGCTTGCTGTAGAGGTCCCTCCAGCAGCCCCACAACGGTGGCCACCTTTTGCTGCTCTGGGCACTGGAACCCTTTCAGATAGGCCCCGGTTCCAGCTGCCCAGTCCCCCACATCAATCTTGGGGTCATCCCCCTTGAATTTGCTGGGGGCAGGGATCTTGGGACCTTTGTGGTCCCCAACAACAACAGCAACAAAGGTGGGAGGAGGTGTGGCTTTGGCCTGGGAGGAGACAGAGGGAGAAGCCTTGCGAGAAGAGTGAGGAGACCCAGGAGGTGGAGAAGGAGGTGGAGAAGGGGGCTGAGAAGGCTTCTTGGGCTTTAGAGAGGGGACCACAGGGACCAGGGGACTGATGACGTTGGCTGCTGTTAGCTGAGCAGTCAGATTCTGGATTGCATCCAGGATCTTCGACTGCTGAGTTCCCAGATCAGCCACTCTGGTCTCCAACCGCTGGATCGTCTTATCCCAGTTTGTGAAGTGGCTGGCTGTAAGTTTGTCCTGCAACAATATCAGCTCAGCCAGGTCCCGCGTACACTGGGCCACTCTAGCATCTGCAAAAGTCTTCTGAGCCTGCTGCAGCAGGTGCTCTTTTCTGGAAGCATTTGTTGCAGCTTCCAGCTCTGCAGCCTCTTGTCTCTCTGCCTCTGCGAGCAGCGCCTGTTGCTCTCGAAATTTCTCTTGGATCTCCTTCTTGCGCCGCTGCGCAGGGGTCAGAGGAGGGGGAGGTGGAGTTGAGGGTGAGGCTTGGGCCTCATCCTTAACCACTACCTCCACCTGCCCTGCACCTGTGTCAGCGGTTTCAGACATTTTCCCTCTCAAACAACACAACAAATAAATGAAACAGCAGGAGGTGCAGCGATTTACAGTCCTCTCAGACACTCACAATTCACTGCACTGTCAGTTCACAGAGTAGTGTGGGTCAGTGGGCACAAGCAGTTAGGGTTGGAATAGGGCCACTGGGTCAGTAGTCAGGCTGACTGGATGTCTAGTAAAATCATGCACTAACGATTTCCTATACCTGACACTGAACTTTCACTGAAGTTGCAACATGCACTTTCACAACATTCCAGAGGTCACTAGCATTCCAGAGCCCATCAGAAAGCAAAGGAAATTAGTAGTATTGACGGAGATAGGCAAGAATTGTCTGAAACAGGACAGCAAGTGGTAGCGATGCAGTAACCTATACCCTGACACTGTTGACCTCAACAGAAATACCCCCAAATATGGCGAATTTCAGGATTTCACTGTAATGACCCAAATTCACTGTTTCTGGACTTGCGCTTCAGCACAGATGACAGAAATCAAATTGCGATTCACCCCAGACTGACAGACTTGAATTATGACGGACAAATTTTGAGTTGTGATTGACCCTAGATAGCACAGACTATAAATAGACTCAGCACAAAACTCAAATCCACAGTATCACTACTTTTCCTACACAGAATTCACAGTATGATCATACAGGATGCAGCGCAATACTGTCATACAGTCCCAGAACAATTTTGAGTCAGAACAGGTCAATAGATAGTGAGATATGAGTCAGGGTAGGGAGGAAGAAGATGGATATGGTTGTCTTGCAGTCTGACAATTTCCCGATTGTGACCCTACTGACAGACAGACCATCATTTCTATTTTTACTGACTCTACACTAATCGCTACTCAGGGAGTCCCATGGACCACACTCACTTGAAGTATTTCACTCGGTGGGTGATGAAGCTCTGGCTATGGCTGCCAAACCCTGGTCTCGCCAGCACTTGCAGACACTCTTCCACAGCTTCCCACGTACAGAACCTCCTAAAACTTGTTGATCCGCTCCAGTATGATGTGGCGATTCAACTCCACCTCTCAGATTCACTGAATCTGGCTCAGTGGCGAGAGAATACTCTCCTGAAAGTATCTCGCCACTGCAGGTATGAGCCGCTGGTGCTAAATTTAGCCTTGAGTAGGGTTAATTTAGCAGGAGGTGATCCTGTGATCAATCCTCCCTCAGCGCTGTACTGGGATTGAAGCCGCCACCCAGTTATTACTGGATTAGGGTGTAATTCACCACCCTGATCCCAGTCATCAACTGAGGTCAGATAGGTGGATGGCGAAATATCCCTGTTCTCGCCACTTCCTCTCAGGCACACAGACAGGCCCTGGGTGCCTGATCAATCGCAAACTGATGCCCTGCAATCACCGCTTGTTTGTCTTCTCTTCCACTGACTCTTTACTGAAGAGGAAGAACCACCGTGGCACTTCTCGCCAGTTAGTGCCAGAAAGAGAAGCTGCCCCTGTTGCGCTCAACCCTCTGAGCTCCAAGTCCAATCTCCGCTCCGATACCAACTGTTATGAACTTGGTTGTTTGACAATTTGATTGCCACTCACACAAAGAAGAACTCACACACGCCCATACATGCATGAGACTCAGGGGAGGAAGAGACAGAGTCCACCTGCATACAGACCAGAGATAAACAGCGGAATAACAACCATGCACAAATGGGGAGAATACACACAGTGTTCTCTCTCTCTGATGAACTCCCAACAACCAATCACAGGATGACACTGCAAAGATCACAATTGGAAAGTAACCCGGATGATGAGCCAACTCAACACAGTTAACCTCAATTATCGTTACAGAGTTCAACCCAGTATCTCGCCACTCAAGAACCACACACTCCACTCACTACTACACTCTCAGAGTCTAGCGCTGCACAGAAACAGCCTCCCAGAGGCCAGCGCCATACACCCAGATGCAGATCATGAACAGCGAAGTAGTCTCCAGTGCCGATAAGTCACTCTGACGATGAAGAAGGCAGCTATGGCTGCCTAGCTGCTACCGCAGCAGCAGTACCCACATGTACTCAGTGAAGACCCTCCGATAGTCCTGCCAAACGCAGATATCCCCTGGGGATAGATGTGCTGAGCACAGCTCCAGCTATGGCTGTCTCAGGTAGGCCGGCTATGGCTGCACGCAGCTGATGTCGCAGGTGCTGCTGTAGACATTCAGCGCTGCTAAACTTGGTTGGCCACGAACGCAGACATGCGAAAATGAAAAGCCAAAAGTCCCTACTCGATTCCCCTACTGGACTTATAGACTTCCTACACTAGCCTAGACCTAGACCGGACTGACTGGACCTACCGGTACCGTTGCTGTTTCGGCCTCTCGGCCTCTACCGTACCCGGCTATAGGCTATAGGACCGTATAGCAGTATAGGCCACTTAGGGCCTGTCTGTCCTAGGGGTAGCCCGGGCCTGCTATAGGCAGTTAGGGTAGCTGTAAGAACTCGGTTAGTACCAGGTCTGTATTTTCCAAAAAATACAGATCTGTCCCTCACGAATTTCCACACAGGCGGATCTCTCGGTTAGCCCTCAGCCAAACAAAATTGCAAAACTAACCCTACCAGTTAGTGTACAGCCTCGCAGACAATCTCGGCAGCAGAAATCAGCAAGTCATTGCACACATCTCAGCAACCATAAGAAAGAGCACCTAGTGCTTTCAATTGTGGTTTTCTCAATTACAATAGGAGGAAAGGAGACAAATGTCCCAGCAACTGAAAACCATAACTTGCACACTGAACCATTATAGTGAGTGCCATCAGCCCTGTACTTACCAAACCCTTTCCTCAGTCCATGAAATAAGATTGTGGAACCCATCCAATTGCAACCGCCTCCTCTCCTTTCTATCGCGCATCAGGTACTCCATGACGGCCTTCTTGATGCTCTGCATACGATGAAGCAATGCACACAGCAAGCACGGATGGTATTGGGAAAGGCTTGCAGCCAGTTGCGAGTGATGGAGTGTCTAACGACTCTAACGAATGCACATGAGGATCAATTCAATGTTTGGTGTAAGGTATACAATACATAGCTGCCATTTGTTGTGGGTTGTCATTTCTCTTTCTAGTTCGTGTCCCAGATTGACTCTCTGTTGTCTGTTTGAGCATCCTTCACATTTTGTTGTGATAAGTCCTCCCTAACCACCCCCCCCCCCCCCCCCCCCCCCCCCCCCCCCCCTCTATCTTCATTCAAGGTGGCAACTTCTGATCCAAACTTCCGAGCTTTATGTCATAGTCCTGGTGCAAAGGTCACACCTCAATGGATCCTGCGTATCTGCCTGTCGATGCTTATAATATATGGTCCATATTTTAACTGGAATCCAGGCAAGTAAGACCTCACCAGTGGTTTTACATGCACTGTTAACAAGTCCTCTTTTTTCTGTCAATGACCTCCTCATGGTCCTGGCCAGGTTCTCTTTTTTTTATTAATTGATACTTGACGACAGAAAAAGAGGAATAGGGAGGGAAGAGATATATGGGTAAGGTTTGAAGCTAGAAAAGTGGCACAACTCAGTCAAATCTGTAGGCCGGACATTTACTYGGGTACACGGGGATCCGTCTCCAATCTGGGCCTAGAGGTACTTCCAAGACACACTTATGACAGACGACAGCAGTTTTCTCACAGGGAACAGATGGAGAARTAGATTAAGGCGGCCCAAATTTCTRAGGGCAGGGTACAAGCAGAAACAGGATAAACATGGAACAGAAGGAGAGAGATTAAAAGAGAGGTYCAGGGTGCAAAGGTTCAAAGGATATAAATAGGGTTTGGGTTTCAAAAAATAGAGTAATTGTGTTTAAGGCTTAGGGTTTAGGGTTTAGGTTTTAGGGTTCAGGCTGGAAGATGTAGACAGAAACAAGACGACCAGGGGTGAGAATGTTAGAGRAATCATGAGGCTCATAWGCGGGACTTAGGGTGTACATAGAGGTTGGAAGAAGTGYGGCTGCTTAGACCTCTCTTGCTATTTATGTGGTATCTGACAGGCTCTTTATAATAGTCCTGAGAGGAGAGWTGGAAGCAGGGCAAGCTGACAGTCAATCCTCCACRATRTTGGAGTAATCAAWGCTGATCAGGGGTCCTTCGGCCAGACGGAAGGAAGYGTGAGGGTGTTATATGGTGTAATTATTTTCTGACTTGCCGGTGGAATAGGAACCGGACTGATGCTCCCCAGAATGGAAATGGAGCCAGGGCCATAAGGACCTGTGTTAAAAAAAAAAAAAAAAAAAAAAACCAACAACACACCCCTTGTATTCTGGGGGGCATCGTGTCTGCTTACTTATCACCAGCAAGCAGAATTCAAGTTCAAATGCGAGGAGAATGAAGAAAGCCCTGATACCCCCGTTGCCCGAGACACTCCACGGGAGCGCTGCGGGGGGGGCGGAAGGATCCCTGGTCAGGTTCTCTGAGGGGTGCCATACTTACACTGGTCCTATCTGCCCCCAAAATATGTGTGGTGCGGGGGCAGGAAAAAGGTGGGTTGGTTTCACTGGCCCAGTCCTGTGCAACCAACCCCCTTTCCATCCCTGAGGCGATATCACCAATGATTACAAGGGGCACGCTATCAGAAACTTCTTTTCAACTTTTAATTGCGCAGTTTTTGCCTCGCCATAAGCTAGAGCTTTAGAGGGGAATGGGGGTGGAAATGTGTGCCAGGGGATCAGTTGGACGTGGACCAACTGGACGCCTCCCCGACCACGTCTATTTGTACGTGGGAGCTTTCCAGCAGTGTGCGCACCACATGGCTGTTCTTTGGAAAGCTCACCATGCCTTGATAACCGAGCACTGAACGCCAGTACGAGCATGAGCTCCCTTGTTTACAACTTCACACCAGTGACAAGTCAGCCGGGGTTTCTACGTCACACGTGTGACAGACCACAGGAGAACAGCGAGGTCTCGAAATAGGGGAGGTCGATCTGGGGAGAAGAATGAAAACAATCAATCAAAACAAAAACGTTACCCCGGAAATGCGAAGCTCGAGGGAAGAGATGGAATCACCCCGCGCATAGGCGCGCTCCTTACATCTGCTTGACAATAGACACTGTCCTCATCTGATATGGAGAGCTGGGATAGGCTGTTGTGGCGCACAGAGGTAAAATTACAGCACAGGGTTGCGCCTGTGTGCAAACTCAGAGCAGAGAAAAAGGAATCCATAGAAGTGACATGTGTCTGTTAGAACAACGCGCTTTGCAACTACGAACCTCAGAACCGAAACTTGAAACGAAACAAAACTCTCCCTCTTGCAAATACTCGAATCAAGACCATGTACATTCATTGACTCATCGTCTCGGCACTTGCAACCGATGCATATGACTCGAAACAACTCAGACGGAAGAGAGATGGAGAGTGAGACAAAACCAAAACTTAAAGATCAGCGCACAACGGGCCAACACCAAGCTTCCAAATTCACATGAGCAAGCAATGCGATGTTGTCGCCATTGCCATCCACCACACTCACACTCCACCCTGCTCCTTCACTCCGGATGAGCCTGCCAAACTTAGCGTGCAAAACCACCTGCACCGTCACTCCACCCAGTCCTTTGGACGCGGTACCCAGTCCTTTGAACGTGATGAGCCTGTTCAGCGCCCTGGCATGCAACCAGCAGTCCACGCAGGATTACAGGCTTTTTTACAGCCAAGATCAACAAGAGAACTCCATATAGCAAACTAGCAACAGAGAATAAGGAAGTCCCTGGTGCAACCAAGGGTATGGACTACTGAAACACCCATCTGGAACTTGCGTTGAAGCAACGGCAATGCTGAGTAAAAAATATGAAATGTGTGCACGAGAGAAAACTATGGAATAAGTGTGCAAAAGGAGTAGTCAAGCAGTCCTATTTCTAGCGCAGAAGGCGGCGGTCAGTCAATGCAGATAGTGGGGAAGAAGGTGGAAAAGGGTCGGAAGTTTCAACATCTTACAGAAACGGGATGATCGGCGGAGTTGCATGCGGTACTACCATCCATGCAATTTGATTCAACCAATGAGTACGCAACCGATGGCCTGCGAGGAAGGAGAAAGGAAGAAGACAAACAGTTGGAACAAAAGAGAGATTGGGGAAGAAGTTGGCTCAAGAACGGAAAGACAAGAAGCTGGCTTGCGTGCATGCATTCAAACTGTCACACCTCTAATCATCATCAAACAAATAATAGAAACAGAAATTCAAGCACTACGGGAAAAAAAAAAAAAAAAACCTTCCCCAAATACAGACCCTACCAGACAAAAAAGAAGAAATAACTAAAAGTGCGAGGCCACTGCCTCTATGATCCCCAATCGGCCCCTTTTTGGGAGCCTGTCAGCCACCCTAAGTGAAGGCAGGCTCGACGAGGCCCTTCAGGGCCTTATTTCGGCCTCTGCGCAACTAAGGAAATTCAGGCAGTTGCGCAGCGCCAGTTGGTTGAGAAAACCCAGGCCCTGGGCCGCCTGTGTGAATGAATGGAAAGCAGGCCCTGGGCTGGATACGGGTACTGGGCCAAACACATGCCAAAGGCAGTTGGGTGCATGCAACCACCGCAGGCCCCAGGCCTGTTCTCGACCATGCTGGGCCTCAGGCTACCGGGGCCTACTGGAAGCTTCCTGGGACTGGACGCAGGCAGGCCACTTCGATATAGCAAAAGGGCCTGCCTCCTCATTCGGCATTCGGGTGCTGGCTGCATGCTGCGCAAGCGCTGCTGCGCTATTTGCTGGCTGGCGCCTACACGCTCACGGGCGAGCAGGGAAGGAGCAGGCAGCCATAGCCGAGCTGCGCTGCTGTAAGCTGGGTGTGGCGCAGGGTGGTCCTTGGGTGCAAGTGACATCTGTGTGTTGGGGAACAAGGTTGTGAGTGAGGCGAGAGACATACCTGGTGCTGGAAGCGTGCGACATTGGTCGCTGTATGCTCGTACTTCGGGAAAGTTGTTGACGTCA